TGACTGTGTGTGCAACATACCAGGCAGGAAAAAAAGTATTAAATACTATTCTTTGAGATTTGCAAATCTCAAACCTCTGATACACTATCTAGATTCCCACTGACAATAGGCATCTCACTGTAACAGCACATTTTATATGCACATGCTGAGCTCATGATAGTGGTAATAATAGAAAACTTTCACCTAGATTTGTCAGATACCTATGTAAATTATGTATCTAAGCAATCAATTCAATTGGAATTATTAAATGAAGAAAAACATGTTTATGTTTAGAAAAACGTTGCATCCATACACAAGTACTGGCCTCTACACATGCAGAGTGGATTCTTAATAACACCAGCTTAGAGCAATGGCTAAGCCATTGCTGGCTGAGTATCCTCAAATTGTAACTCACAGGAGACTGCCCCTTCTCATTTATGCTAGAGTGTTTCAAAGATAAAATCTTTCCTTTAACCCCCTGATCTGTATTTTCCTCTCATCGCGTATTTCCCAGCTCCGGAAGATGAAGCCCTTTTCATTCTCCGTGAGTGCTGAATCCACCGCGTGCCATGCCCGGCTCTTCCCTCTGGAGGGAGCCGGCTCTTCAGGCAGGGCCGGCCGGGTGCGCGCAGCATCTTCCTCCTCCTCCGCCGCGGCCACGGGGCAGCGATACCCGCGGGGACCCTCCGAGGTGACCCTCGGGACACACTGGGTGTGCCCCTGCCCACAGCGGCAGTTCCACACATACCGCGGGTCAGGCCAAAGCACCCGCGATCTCAACGCGCTGCAGAATTTGGTTTCAACCTATCAGGAAAGCGAACGACAGGAGGAAAAGCACCAAGAACCAACACGTGTATGTTCACACAAACGCTCTTCTCCCACCTTTCAGCCCAGCCGTGTTCAACAGGCTCGCGGCAGCTTTTTGAGCTCTTTGGGTAATGATGCTGAAACCTGCTTTGCTCTTCCAGCCTTCTCCAGGCAGCAGGGCTCAGCTTCTGCTCCTCAGCCCAAACCTGTGGGTGCCTGATTTGTTTCTAGAGGCTACAGAGATCCCTTTACATAGGCAGAACATTACACAGTACGACTGAACCTGCTTTTCTTATTCCAGACAGATCAAGGTACAACTGCCCTTTGGTGAGGGATCCAGCATCACAGGCTGAAATCCACTTGCTGGAGAGAAGGAGGAATGCTTGGCAGGAAAGGACAGTGCCCCAGCTGAGGTGGCCCCAAGCCATGTAGCCCCACTGGCCACGGCTCTATGTAGAGATGCACTAGAAGCCCACAGCTCATGGGCTCACTGTCCCCCAGCAGCTGCTGCATGCAGAACACCTTTTCTACACCTGCTACAAGTCCTCCGGTCATTCCCCACCCTGCAAGCCACTGTTACACACACTGTAGCAGGAAGCCAAAGCAGTTGGTCCCCTGGCCATGGCCGTGTGTACGTGTGCTTGAGACTGGCTGAAGAGATGCCAACACCCCAGGATGCTGAGAGGCAGCTGCTGGGGACTACCTGCACAGTTCTAGCCAGAGAGTTATAGGGCCTCCCTAAAGACAAAGAAAGACTAAAGAGATCATCTGTGAAATGTGTAAAGAGTGTGCATGAACACTGCAAACACACAGGAGTTTCATCCCCATGCTCCTATCCTACATTGAATTGAGTCAATTCCACTAGCAAGGACAGAATAAAATCAAATGCAGAAAGCCATTTCTGAAAACTGCAACTGTCCTCAGTATCTGGGTTAAGTGATTAAGCAAAAGCCACCCTTGTTCCACCTGCATGGAACAAGGAACTAATCCTGGATTTATCCACTGAGCTAGGTGATGTGGTTTTCAGACCTCAGAAGCAATCACTGAACTCAGCTTGTACCCCTAGAAAATAGAGCTAGGTGGCTAATTTATTCTCTAGCCCTATTTGGAAAAGACAAAGGATGCTTGTAACTTCCACACCTGGGCCTGTTTTACAGGTGCTTTTAAAAACACACTTTGTGTGCAAGTGCTTTGTGTGACTTGAGGTAACCACAAGTGGAAGTATTGCCTGGAAATGTGGCCACCTTCTTTCCTAGAATGTGCCATGGACCTTGGTGACAGCATGGGCTGAATGAAATTTAACCAGACATGTAACCAAATCATACAAAATCATTTGTCAAATGAATCTACAATATACAGATAATGCATAGCCTATACATGACATATCCTGACTAACAGGCTGACAGGTAATATGACATTAGAATGTTACAAATTTTTCTGTGATTTTCAAAAGCCTTCTACTAGTCAATCTGCAGCAATATGGGGTTTTGTTTATTTGAAGTGGATTTTTTGTTGGGATAGAAAAATAACCCTTTTTGCTTTCCATATCTGTAACACTCCCATCTGGTGAGCCAGACATTATTATGGAAGGAGGGACACCAGTCAAAGCCCTGAAGAATCTTGATTTAAGGATTAAAACACAACATGAACTAGACTGCTAACATGCTTTAATGTGAACATGTCTAAGCACCTTGCATGCTAATGGACTAAATGCATGGTTAGAAAAACCATTTTCTCAGACTGTAGCTGCATGCTCTCCTTCCCATTCAGCCTCAGGACTTCAGCAGTGGTTCTTTAGCACAGAACACAGAGCAGTGATCCTGAGGGCCCACTACCCACAGCTTGAAGTTCTGTGATTTTATCTTCTTCTAACAAATATAAAATTGAAATTCCTACAATCAAGGAAAGGATCTTGAGCCACTTTCATTAAGGGCACAGTTTAGTCCTGGCACCCTGGGTCATTCTATGTGTGTTTGAAGAGAACAGGTGCTTATCAATACAAACAGATCTGTTTTCACCTGGGAGCCCCAGCCTTGCAAACTGTTGTACTGTGATAGATTACCACAACCATGGGCACCTGTGGCAACCAGGGACAGAAAAGAAGGAGCAATCACCTGTGGAGAGTCACTGTTTGCTCAGAATAAGAACTCTCCTTATTTAAATAACTGCATTTTGTTGGGGGAGCTTAGATTTCAGGGCAGACAAACTGACAAATATACACAAATAATCAAACAAGAAATGAAGGAAAGAAAGAAGAGGAAAAATATTTATAAATGTCACTGTCCAATGTCTTTTCAATTGAAATAAGATTATCTACATATATCTACAAATATCTACATGTATCTACACTTTGCAGATATGATTCTTTGGTTGTCTTCACTTTTTTTCCTACACTGCAACTATCAAGAAAAAAAAAGGGTTTGTATAATCTTTTAAGGAAATAATAAATATAACAACTTCATTAAACATTTGACCAAAGCTTTGGCACTAATCAGTTTACAGATAACAAATCATACTGAAAATTCTGAAATAACAGCGGCAAAGCAACAGAGCACATCCAAGAGCCATTTCCCACTGACTAATAATAAGCACAAAGCTATTTTACATCAACCTTTCTGAAAACATTATGCTTTAGTCAGACACTAAGAATCTCACAATTCACTGCAAATGTCAAATAAAATACATATTTCTTGCACGAGTCTTTTTTATGGATCCAGATATATTTTTAACAGAAAAAAAATTACATAAAATATTCATGGTAGCTTGTATGCCTTCTTAAACCTTTCCAAAAAGGTTTTGGAAGCCCAAAGCCCACTGCCAGAGACAAAATAAACATTGCTATTAACACTGCCACCTGCACCAGGGAAAGAACATGTTTTAAAGAGTTTGTGAATGAAAATGCACATGGATGAATAGATGACTTTAAAAGAAACAACTCCCATCTTTTAATGGAGTCATGTGGAAGAATTAGGAAAGTGTTCATAATACTGTACACCAACACAGCTGAGGAGCTGCTCAATACCTTCTCTGAACACAAAGGGACTGCCTTTGGTGAGCATCCAACAAAACACAAGCCAACTATTCAAAACACATCACTGGAGAACTCTGATGAACAGGGCCATCTTTTTAGCAGTAAGGAACGACTACTGAATGAAGACACTAAATGAACAAGAAACAGTACTTACCAGCATTAAGAGGGAAGATGCAGCAAGCAGGTAATAGATGCTTTAGAACTACTTGAGTTTGGGTCAGCCAAATATAAAGGGTGAGCCAGTCTGAGAAAAAGACCCTGAAGTCCCTTTAAAAGGCACCTCCATGAGAGAGTATTCAAGAGCTCAGGAAAGGATGCAGGAACGCAGAACTGTTAAGGCTGCCTGAGAAGCATGTGGGAAACACACAGCCTGAAATCTACAGATATTCCCCCACCCACAGGCTGGTTTTTAAACCTTTGCAGGTATTGTTGAGAAAACAAGATGCAAACACAGCTGCACATGCTGTGCTCTTGGCCTTCTCAACAGCTCCAGAAAATGCTGCTATGGCTAAGGCACCCCAGTGAACCCCGAAACCTGCGAATGGGTCAGGGCAGAGGAGAAGTGGGAAATTTGTTCTGGCAGTAAGGATTCAAAGCAGTCCTTTAAACTAAACTCTGCTTCCCCAAGAATCTCCTCAAAGAACCACCTGAGCCACCTGTGAACCAGCCCTCGGTGTGCCCCGGGTTGGGAAAGGCTGACAGCGACAAGCGCAGGACGACACGCGGCTCAGGGCCCGGCCCACAGCCCCTGCCCGGTGCCACGTACAGGCCCGCGGGCACTGCCCACGCCGGCGGTAACACCAAACCTCCATCAGAAGACCCGGCGGGCGAGTGAGAGGGGACAAGTCACTTCACCGCTGCCGCCTCACCGTCCTCCCACCGCATCCCAGCCGCCCGACGGTCCTCGGTGCCCGGCACGAACGGAGGCGCGGGGGAATGGGGAGATAAGGACATATGGCTTCATTTATCAAAGTGCAGCCGCGGGTCACGCCGCGATGGAGCTCCCGGCGCCGCCGCCCTCACAGCCCCCACAGGGCGGGGCGCGGGGCGGGGCCCGGCTGCCGGCGATTGGGCTGTCTGGCTGTCCATCAGGTCACGCTGGCCAATCAGCTCACTCGTAAGGCGGGAGGTGGGGAAAGGCGGGAAGGGGGAGGGCGGTGTCTCTCGTGCCGCCGGTGCCCCGTTACCGGGGCCCGTAGTCGTAGCCGGCGGGTGCTCCTGCCGGCGAGTACATGTTGGCAGCCGCCGCCGCCGCGGCCGCCGCGTTCATGTGGTGGTGATGGTGGTGGTGGTAGCTGTGCCCGCGGATGCTGGGGAGGGGGTAGGGGGCGGGCCGGCTCTTCGCCCCCAGGTAGTGGTCGTAGGCGGCGGCCGCCGCCGGCGGATACTTGTAGGGATGGTGGTGCAGCGGCTCCGACGCGGCGGGCTCCAGGCGCAGTTCGTGGTGCGGCGGGCTGGGCCGGCCGCCGCCCGCCCCGGCCAGCGGCACCAGCCCGCCGCCTCCGCCCGGCAGCGCCGGGCTGAGCACGCGGGACATGAGCTGCTGGTGCGCGGCCTCGGCCTGGTGCAGCGCCGTCCCGCCTGCCTCCCGCTCGAACTCCCGCCGGCTCTCGGCAGCATCTACGGGGGCAACGGAGTCAGCGCGGCCGCGCCCGCGGGACGCGCACCCGCACACACGGGAAAGAGGCGCGCGAAGGGAAGAGCGCGGCTGCGAGCGGGGCGTGCAGCAGCGGCATGCGGCAGGAACGGGGCTGGCGGGACGGGACCTTCTGACTGCGATAAATGGAGTTGAGTTGACTGACAAGCTAGTACACGCCTGACATTTTTGCAATTGTGTAACACTAAACAAACACAGACTTCCCTTTATTTTGCAGACCCGCAGTGCGTTGGAAGAAAGGCCTTCGGTTGTCTTTGCAGTTGTTTGCTCTGGGTAATGGAAAAGCAGTCAATGGGCAGAGGTGCTGTTCGACCTGACTGCAGCTCCTGAATGGAGTGGGTTGGCCCTAAGTGCACTGCCGAGGAGCATTAAAAGGGCAATGCGAGAGGGAACCTGTGGCCAGCACTGCATCTCTGCCTGAAAAAGCTGAGTTTGTTGCTAAAAAGTCGAAAATGGGACTCTAAAGGCAAGGGGCTGTGTTTTTTAAAGCAGCAAATTTTCTCAAGCACACAACAACAGTAAATGTTGTAGTCCAAGGAAGAATTAATTAGGCTATGAAGGCAGGTATTTTTCTTTAAAAAATAAGTGGTAGCACAAAGCTCATGAGCTATGGGCTGTGCAGCACCTTGGTGAGCAAGGCTGGCCTCAAGCATGCATGCACGGGCTGTGCAGGCCAACAGGGAGATGGGCTGGCCCGGCCACTGGGGGCTCTCACCTTTCTCTGTCCCATTCTGGTGGGCTGGAGAAGAGACTGGATTCCGGGATCTGGCAAAAGCGCTCATGAGAGGAAGAGGCCCTGGCCTGTGGTTCCTGGGCCTGGAAGAGGAAGGGGAGAAGTGATACAGAGTTGCTGGTCCAACAGAATGAGCAACTGGAGTATTGCTTCTCTGAGCTGCAGCTGGCAAATGGGGCCCGATACAGTGTCCCCCTCCATGAAACCTTTGTGCAAATGTAAGCTGGGCAGATGCATGTGAAATAGGGTGAGTGGAGTTATTGCCATAATCAATAAAGGCATATCCTTACCAGTCCTCAGGGTCACAGTCTCTGAATCCCTTGGCAAAAGGGTTGCTTGCAATCTTCAACTGCGTGATCTGTAAGAAGAAGTGGCAAAATGTTTCAAAGCAGCACACAGGGCTCCCTGGCCAAACAGCGAGTGTGTCCCTGAGCAGGCTTTGGGACTCAGCAGTGCTTGGTGTAACAGAGGGGATCCAGGTGGCTGGTGGAGCCAGGATGTTCTCTGCCACAGAGCACAAACATGTGCTTTCCCTCTGTTAGAAAATGCAGGCTAATATGCTACCTAATATGAGTTCAAGGTGAAGGGAAAGGCAGTTTGAGTTGGCTGCAAAAGCTGAATAAATGCACTTGTAAGAAAATGCCACATTATATGGGTCACCACTGGAGCAGTTAAGACAAATCACTGGATAAATCATACTTATGTATTTATTTAATTCACCAGGGAGAAGGCAGGACATTTTCTATATTTAAGCAAATCCACGGATAAAGTATGTGATTGTGAGTTTCCGGAATGGGTTGAAAAACAAACTTTAAGCCCCTCAGTGACAGTTCCAGCCTTAGAGGTCAAACTGATAGAAAGCAGGAGAGAAAGAGCAGCTGTCCGGAGCCATCAGGCAAATGCCAGCTGGGGAGGGACTCCAGAGCCCCTTAAAGGCACAGCCTTTCTCTGGCCTCGCCGCCTCCACCGGGGCGAGGTGCGGCCCGACCGCAGCATCCCGGAGAGACCTCAGGTCTCAGGTCCATTTGCTCGGACACACTGCACAGGGTGACACTTGAGCCGGTTGCTCAGGGACAACCCCGGGACACATCCCCGGCCTGTGCGGCATCGTCGCGGAGCGAGGAGGTTCGGAGCAGCACTGAAAAGCCCCCGCTATGAAATCCTATTTCCACTCGCTGCTGGGATTCCTGCTCTTTACATTACAGTGATGCGATTTAAAGGAGTAATTGGATTAACTGCTGCCCAGAGATCCGCATTAGATTGGGGTGGGGATGTTGTGTTTCGTTTTGTTTCGTTTTTAATGTAAAATTGTATTCTGAGGAGAGACAGACCGCTAGGAGCTTAAAGAAGTAAAATCGCCGATTTATCCAAACAATTTGTGAGTGACATTTCACAGCGGGAAACCTGTAGTTTCCCCACTAGCCCCAGTCTCGGCTTTACATAGGTAATGAAGTCCCCCGGGCGGGGGGGAAGCTGGCGATGGGGCTAGAGCCCACGTCGCCTCCTTGCCGTACACCGATGCAGTTCCGCGCAGCTCCCCGGCTATCGGGTTCCTAGCGCTGCCCGGAATGGGTTTAGCAGATGGGGAGGAGGGGGTGGGAATCCCGCCGCCATCCCCGCCGCCGCCGGACACCCGCAGCCCGGCCTCCAACCCCGGAGCCGGACGAAGGGGCTGAGCCAGCACCGGATGCACCCGCACCCATGGTACCTCCGGAGCGACCCCAAGCCCCGCTTTCTGTTGCCCCGAGCTCCGCTGCTGCCTCACCCGGTGGTTCTGGTAGGCGGTCACTGCCGTGAAGCGCGTCTCCTCGAAGACGAAAGTTTTGAAGTTCTCCTCCGCGTACTTCTCGCTGTCTTTCCGGGGGTCCACGTAGACCACGTGAAAACGCGGCTGGTATCTGTGCATGGAGTTCAAAATGATCTGAATGATAAAACGAGCAAGGAGACAATGACTGATCCAGGCGGAGCATGGAGAGAGGAGAGCGCGGCCCCGGCCCTGCCGGCTCCACTGCCCGGGACAGCCGCGGGGCTGGGGCAGAGCCCCCGGCGAGGGGCGCGGGCAGGGTCACCCCACGGGAACCACAGCGCGGGGAGTTCCCACCCCGTGCAGCCCCGTGTTGGACATCTTCTCCCGGGAACACTTACATGCCCGTTGTCATCCAGCAAATTGTTGGTTAGTTTGAGCTTATCGAAGGAAACGATCTGCTTCATCCACTGCGCCCCTTTGGCCGGGGAATCCGGGTGGTAATGGACTCTCCCGGGGGTGGCGGGGTCGGCTTTGCCGGCCACCAGCCAGGAGGAACTGTGGAAGGCGTACCTGCGGGAGGGGAAGGCACCTCAGCCGCGGCCCGGGGCTCCCGCCCGCGTCCGTGCAGCGGCGCTCCGAACGACTGCAGCACCCGCGCCCCGCAGAACCCGGCCCGGGACGGTCCCCCTGGCCCGCCGAGGGGGAAGCACCGCCTCTCCATCACTCCCGCTTCCTACGGCCACGAGAGGAACGAACTCTTTTCTGTAGCCAGAATTGCTGCGAAGGGGATATACTATTTTATCAGGTCGGCGATGGAACTGTCGTGAGAGAGATCTGCAGGACGGAGGAAATTTATAGCTAACCGTGTAGATTTGGGAGAGAAGCCACAAAAGCCTCCCCCTTCCTCTAAAAAATGGGTGAAAAAGAGCCCTCTATACAGTAATATTCTCGCTTTAAGTGAAGAGTGGAAAGTTATGCGTAGATTAATAGCAGATTCAGAATTTAGCAGTCTTGTTTCATGCTTTCAAAGTACATATTCAACAGTAACATTTAAAACAGAGAAACCAATCTTCTATACACGTGTTTACTTTAAAAGCCAGTGTTTGCACAGGGGGAATTAGACACCATTGGACTTGAGCAGAAACATTACTTTTTAAAGATATACTCAATTGGATGTTATATATCCTACTTCCCTTGACAAGCAAACATTTCTAGGACGCCCTGAGAATTTGGATATCTGTCTAAATATTTATATATCAGACCCTGCGATTCCTATGTGGGCTGCCTGCTCGGCGTCATGATCTGAAGCTAAATACATAATGCGCTTTTCACTGTCTTAAAATTAAAGGGGTTCCAAACCAGACCACATCGCTGCCTTGTGAGCCGACAGTTTCCAAGGCCTTCCTACACTGCCGCGGGAAACAAGGGCAGGGTTTTGTGGCTTGGGTGGCTGGTGCCTTTCCAGAGCACAAAACCCACTCTCTTCACCCAAGCACCCAGGAAGCTCCCCAGCAAGCATGGCACAGCTTTGGGACATGCACTGAGGGGCTACAGCATTCAAGGAGCACCGAGGGAATTTTTGTTAAGTGGCAAAGGGTGTTTGCCGGTGGAGACGTGTAGCAGTACAACAAAGAGAGCTTTTCTGGGCAGGACAAGGCAGCTCCTGCCCTGTGCCCTGTGGAAAGCTGTCCTTCTGCCCATGCTGGTCTGGCCCCGGCCACCTGTGAGCCTGCTGCAGAGGCTGAGGGGGCCCTGCAGTCCCGTGCAGCCGCTCCTGGCCCCAGACTCATTGCAAGAGTGTGAAACAGACCCCAGGTCAGCTGCATCCCGTGTCCCCTCCCTGTCTCGCACCGACAGGTGTCATGCCCAGGGACACATCCCGAACTCCCGGAGGGCAGGAGCAGGGGTAGGCAGCGACCCACCAGCCCCTACGGCTCAAAGAACCACGAGACAGGCCAGGTATTTGTTACTTGCCGGTATCGCTTGTCATCCACCGGGACAAAATCCATAAGGAGCATGTAATCAGCCATAGGGTCCATCCCGAATATCTTCACCTGGAAGGTGGGGAACATGCGCCTGGCACAGAGAGGAGAGACAAGTGCTATGTTGAGGAGCAGCAGGGAGCCCCGAGGGGCCAGCACGGGTTTCTTCCCCTCCAGCTGCTCCGATACCCTCCCAGTTGTGATGATAAGTCCTCTCGCAGAAACCACTGGCTAGAGGAAGAGGCAGATATGCCCAAGCTGCACGGGGAGACCCGCTGCCGTGCTCCCCAGCACTCGGCAGCATCCCGAAAGGCGAGCCGGGGGGGGGGGGTCCTGCCTCTCCCACTGGCTCCGGGACCCTTCATGTCAGACACCCGAAATGCCCCACCGCAATGGAACTGAGAGGACAGGGGGAACAAGAGCATCCTCGGCCTTTGCTATGTGGAGACCAAGTGAAAATAATTTCTTTCCCATGGTTTCCCCATCATTTTAGCTGACCTGACTGGAGGCAAATGCAAGGCATTACTCTGTCTGCGGACCTGCACTCAAGCCTCAGGAGTCTCAGGCAGCCCGTGGGGGTCAAATCTAAAAACTCCAGCCAACGGCACTAGGTGATCGAGTTCCCACCTGTGCCCACCAAATTGTGCCCGTTTGAAAGCAGTGGTTACAGCAGCAGCCCCTAGGGCCAGCAGGAGACCTCTCCCAGCCCAGGGGGGCAAACGCTCTCCCTCGGCGGGCAAGGACTAGAGGGCAACAGGGGTGTCCCAGAAAGCTCCGTCCCAGATCCACTTCATTGCAAGAGCCCGGTCGGGCTCCCGCCCCCCACACCTTTGCGGACGAAAAGGAGAGTGGAAAGGAGCCCAGGGATCTGGAGCTGGGCAGGCCAGCCCCCGCGGCTGCTCCCCCAGTTCTTCTCTGCACAGCACCCCTGGGAACCAAAGCTAAGCCCAAACGTGGATCCCACACTCAGGGAGGGCACGATTCCTTCAAGGGGCTGCAGTACAAATATGATCGGTGGTGGGCTAAGGGAAGGGGCCGGGATGGTCCACCCATCCCTCCCTCCTGCATCTGCACACACCGCGACCAGAGCCTGGCCCGCAGCCCCCCGGCTGGACATGCCGAAGGTGTGCCCTGGAGTCGGGGCTCGTTATGGCTTCATTTTGTTTTACAGAATAGTAAACCAAGTGAGCGACTATGGGCAATATTTCGTGAAGGGTGTTTGCAGCCATTGAAAAACCAAAGTCCCAGCCGGCCCCTGAACAAACAGCCCGATCAAACCCGGACACAGAGAGGCCCCCCGGCTCGCTCTCGGGGCACACGGCAGGACCTGCACTTATGTGCCTCTTCCCCTCTCTGAGGGCCGATGGGTCAGCGCGCCTCTGGCTCCGCAGCTTTTCCACATCGGGCCCAGCACTGCCGGGCTGCATCGGGTTCGGGCGGCTACGTCTCCTTCTCTGTAAGGCTTTTAGCAAACTCTGGAGGACGTGTTCAGTCACTAACTCTGTTACTACTATTTTTAAATGTGCAAAAGCCCCCATTAGCTCAAATTCCGGTGTTTCTTGTTCTAAAACTTAGTTTTAAAACAAACAACCTGAGATGATAAGACCCATCTAGACAAACAGCAGGACCAGCCCAGAGGTGCTGGAAGAGAATAGGCTTTGCAGTGCCCTCCCCGAGCCTTTTCCTGCTGGTTTTACCCCGTTTTCTCCTGTTTTTACTCTCCTGTCTGGAGTTTCGACTGTGTCATAAAGTAAAAAAATAAAAGGGTGGGAGGAAAGCCCCCGATTCAATTCGAATTGGTTATTTCCGAAACATTTTGAAATGGGGTATTTGCAATCTTTTCGCTCTTCTTGGAGAGCTAAGAAAGCCAGATCGAAGAACTCCTGTTTGCAGAGAGCCTCCGCCTGGAGCCTGAACGACCTTTTCCGCTAAGGAAAGCAACGCCGAGCCCGGCGCCGGGCTCAGGGGCCGCGGCCGGAGACTGCGGGCTGTGCGACCCGGCGCCGGGGCAGGCACCGTCTGCGGGAAATTCCGCCCGGGTCCCGCAACGCAGCGCCGGCTGCTTTTGCACTGGGCACCACTGTGATCGTTTTATTTTAGGAAATTGCTAATATTAAAAAAAAAAAAA